CTACTGAGGGAATTCAGTGTGGCCTTCTGCCTCTAGCACCCATGCTGGGTCTGTATCGGTGGATTTTTTTTGAATGTAGTTCATAAGAGTGCTCTCTAAAAGGTTTTCCCTTGAGACTAGAGCCCAATTCATTTTTCTTCATTGAAAGTGTCAGCACATAAATAACTCGGACACTACTAGCTCTCATGTTCTCAGGAGGTAGCGTTTGAGGGAGTCATAGGTAAAAATATTGCTGTGCAAGTTACATATTCATCAGTGAGATTTAGTAAATAGTAGGATGGTATTATAAAAAATAGCATTAATGTTTCTGTATTTTTTGTGGCAGCATTTCATTTTCCATGTTAAAGATTTGTAGTGTGCCCAGTTCACGGGATATCTGAATATATTGCAGCATCTCCTTGAATCTTTGCCTAAGTTGTGGTTAGGTTCAGCTGCAAATTATAGGCACCCGAGGAGAGCATCCTAGGGAAGGAACATTAAGTTCTTGCCACAGCCATGCTGTTTCTACGTGTCTGCTGCTGGCCCGTCAGGATGTGTGACTAGATAAAACTTTGGTCTGACCTGATATGGCCATTTGCATGTCGCTTTTTCCAGGCAATTATAAGAACATACATTTTTAAAATTAGTAAAAAGAAGCATACTAATCGAAATCAGAAGTGTTTGTTTGTAACAAATGTGTATGTAACCTCATGAGTCTATTTTGATACACAGTTTCTGCTCTTCTTTTTCCTTTGCGTTTTCTGCAGATTTCAACCGCAGACTTTGATCTCTCCAGTTGTATCCAAACGCGCTTTGATCCTTGGGGTCCATTGTAAACATTCTTAGTTATTGCTAAATGATTATGTTGATCAATGAAATCATTAGACACTACTTAAGTTGCTCTTCATTAACTGGCCAAAGGTTGCATGGAGGGGATATTTTTAATTGCTAGCCAAATGCTTGGGAAGTCTTAAGGTCGTCTTGGAATTTTGGGTGGCTTGTGATTTCACATAGCTCATCACCTTGGAAAGACGGTTCAGTTGTACCAGCCTCCCATGTAGACATTTTTCTATGTATGTATGAAAAAGCTCACTTACTGATTTGTTTATTTTTCTTTAACAGCTGAAAGCTGATGTGGTTCCAAAGACAGCAGGTAAGGTAGCATCTCCACAAATTCATACTTAAATATTTAAGGTTTAGATTGTGATTTTCAGGAACAAGAATATTCTGTTACCTTTTGGAAACTGTTTCCATAGTCCGTCCCCATTTGTTAAACAATATGATACGAGCTTTGCCAGAACAGTGCTAGTGAGGAATTATAATTTGTTGTTGTTGTTCTAAATAGTTTCATATTGTAATTTGTGCCAAGACAGTACAGGCCATATGTTTGATTATCAGTGGTGAGTAAATATGTTTAAAAACATGTTAGTTTGCATTAAAATCAAACCCCAAAGCAAATGGGAAAAAGCAAATCAAAGGGATGGTGTCTCTCAGAGTTTCCAAAGAACATACAGGGTTTTGTTTTCCTTGTTACTAGCTGATCAGTGCACTCATGTTACACAGTTTTTGTGTTTTATCACGTATTTCCTTCTTCATGTGTTTATTTAGCAGTTCTGAAAAACTTGTGCTTTCAGTTCCCACTAGATGGATAGCTGTCGTGGTTTAGCCCCAGCCAGCAACTAAGCACCACGCAGCCGCTCGCTCACTCCCCCTACCCCGATGGGATGGGGGAGAGAATCGGAGGAGTAAGAGTGAGAAACACTCCTGGGTTGAGATAAGAACAGTTTAATAATTGAAATAAAGGAAAATAGTAATGCTAATAGTAACAGTATAATAATAATAATGATCCACGAAGCAAGTGATGCACAATGCAGTTGCTCACCACCCGCCGACCGATACCCAGACAGTTCCCGAGCAGCGATCGCTGCTCCCCGGCCAACCACCCCCAGTTTCTATACTGAGCATGACGTCATATGGTATGGAATAGCCCTTTGGTCAGTTTGGATCAACTATTCTGGCTGTGCCCCCTCCCAGTTTCTTGTGCGCCTGGCAGAGCATGGGAAGCTGAAAAAGTCCTTGACTAGCATAAGCAGTACTCAGCAACAACTAAAAACATCAGCCTGTTATCAACATTCTTCTCCTACTAAATCCAAAACACAGCACTATGCCTGCTGCTAGGAAGAAAATTAACTCTATCCCAGCTGAAACTGGACCAACTCCATTGGTCCTAATACTCCATGAAAATAACCTTAAAAAAAAAAAAAAAAAAAAAAAAGGCATCATCTTCACAATTACTATAGAGAACAAAGGCATACAAGTCAGAAAATGAAATCTTTAACTCCAAGGTGGTGGGTTTGGGGAGGCGGGGGGGATCAGAGTTACGGTATAACAGCAAAATAAAAGGGAGATGAGATGGACAAGGGTTGTGTTTGTACCCTGTTCTGAGGCTAAACAAGCTTTGTTTCCTTAGCTTTATAACAGAGGTTTTCTAAAGCATGGAAACAACTAATAAATCAGTAATACCTTAAAGATACTGTACAATTTTTGAAGTGTATGAACTTGTGGCATAGTTAATCTACTTGTGTTTGATTATATTATGTATCGTGTACGGCCACATAATACTCTATGCTTTGTTTTCACAGAAAACTTCAGAGCTCTTTGTACTGGGGAAAAAGGATTTGGATATAAAGGATCCACTTTTCACAGAGTGATTCCTTCATTTATGTGCCAGGTAGTGGGTTTTTTTTTTACTTTTGCTATTAAATGTATCTCTATGTTATTTATATATTTTTAGAACTGGTTAGACTAGTAGTAACATTTTAAGTGGGTCTGCTCTAACCTTTGCTAACTAAAGAATAAACAAGTGACAGTGTGACTTGCATTTCTGATCTTTTTGCTATGGCTGTTGCTTAGCACATCTTTTGTACAAATAAGTGTAAATTATGTGTAGACTGTCTTAAAAAAACTGGCTTAAGGCTTTCTGCTTTTGTTTAGCAGGGTACTTTAGTGTGGGGCATATTTGGCAAAATGGCACTTGCTTGGGAGAAGCATTTGTGGCTAGAATGACAATCAGCCTTGTGTTCCAAGCAAGCTAAGAAAACGTGTCCGTTCTTTATTCCCAACAGAATAATCTGTTCACAATAAAGAATGTGTTTAAAAAAAAAAAATACTTATTTTTCTGAACATCTCCCTAATATGAAGGGGAGGAGGGAACCTGAAAGGGATTTTGTTTTGATTTAAAGGATGAATCTTTCAAAATTCTGAAATAAAGTCCATGCACGTTCGCAATGTTTTCTTAAACAGTACCAACAACAACAACAAGTGGAAAAAGCCTTTTTGAAAGCGTACTGTGTTTGGCAAATGAGCAGGATTTCAGCTGCTGTAGCGCACTGGATTGTATGATTCCTGGTGGTCCTCTCTTCCTGTAAAAGAGCTACATTTCAACAGCATTGCATTGTAGACTGGCTCTGTAAATAACTTGAGATGAAGGTTATAGTAAGCGTGCTTTATTTATTAACTGATGACTGTGATGGTCCCCCCTCCTCACTTCTTTTTTTAAGCTAAAAAATGCAGCTGTCAAGAGGCCCTAATCTTATGACCTATTTCTAAGAAGAGAAAGGGGACAAGTGTGCTGTAAAGAACCTATTTTCTTGCCTTTGAAATGCAAACTAAGGTTTTGTGATACTGAAAAAGGGACAAAGTTTAGAAGTCTTGCTGGGGTCAGAAATACATAAATATAAGAAAAATAGAAATCCTACTCTCAGTTCTACCCCTAATTTGTGAAGTTCTGTGTAAGTCTGTTCTCCTTGCCTCCCTGTTTTGTCCCCACAAATGGACCCAAAATGAAGATATTAGGTGGTTTACTCTGTGGTATGGTGAGATGATGAATTGATGTTTAGGAATTACTTGGTAGTCATTACCAAAGTGGAAATACTGTCGTAGGTTTCAAATATTTTAAAGTGAGAGGAAAGAGTAGAGGCCTTTCCACTTGTTGAGATGGAGTGTTAATATGATTCAGGCAATTGGTATAGCCTAATTGGAGGTCATCATACCCAGGACTTGGCAATTCAGATGCCTCCACATGGCATGCAGCGTGCAGAGCATACTTCTGGGACTGCGTAGGAGTAGCTGTAATGCCTCCTGTAATAGATTGCTCAAGGTGAGAATGGAAAGATGAACATCACATGAAATACTTGTTACGTACGAGTTCTTTGCCAACATGGGCGGTGTCGCTTCTGGGAGAGGAGATGGCAGGTTGCTGGAAGCAGTGTTTAGTAGCCACCTTTGGGAGTCACTGTGTCTGGGGATTTTTTTTGTTTGTTGGGTTTTGTGTGTCTAACCTAAGACAGGTGGTCACATCTAGCCCAGCAAACAGCGTGTAGCTGAGGGAAGTTTAAAATAGCTCAGGTGTAACACTTAAACAGCAAAACCTAGAAACAGCAAATAGTAATAATGGAATTCCTCACCAGTATTTATACCTGTTGGGAGAAAGAAAGGGAAAAATAAAACTTCTTGGGTCTTGGCTGTGGTAATGAATTTGGGTGATTTTGTTTTGAGGCCTTTGAGGTCTGTCTTAAAATTACTGCCGTTTGTTGCGTCACATTTGGGAGCAAGGCTGGTAACACAGAAAGGTGGTTGTTGGAGTCATGGATGTCAGTTGGAGAGTATCAGCAATATCTGGAGTGGAAATTTACTTTCAGCTTGATTGTATCTTCATCTGGTTACATGGTTTTAAATCCTCATGTGACCATACTCATTCTTAACCTGAAGAAAATTTACTGATTTTATTACTTTTAAATTAGAGTAAGTGAGTATATTTTCAATACCGCCACTTCAATAGCATCTGATCTAAAATAATGCTTGTGTGCTAGTAAAGTTAATAGCTATTTCTGTTTCAGGGTGGTGACTTTACAAATCATAATGGAACCGGTGGAAAATCCATTTATGGCAGTAGATTTCCAGATGAAAATTTCACACTTAAGCATGTAGGACCTGGTAAATAAACATATTCTTTCTACCTTCTGATGACAATAACCTATAATGGAGCATTGTTTATGAAGATGTGTTTTTAAAAAAATAAGGTTTTTTAGATGTGTGGGATACTTGGCAGTTACAGAAATATCAAGGAAGTTTAACAATGCATCATCCCTGGCATGTGCTTATTTGTGTAGACTGCTGTACAAATAGAAGTCAGCCTGTAATGGGTGACATTGCCATTCTTGCTCTTCCTATAAAAAAGACTGTGCAAAATAAAGTAGGGGGGGGTTTGTATTTTACTTGCAAATTCTACAAAGGTGAAATTACTGCTTTCATTTTCCTCTTTCGTAAGTCATAGACTTGAATTTTTAGTTGGATGATTACTGCAGAAGTGAAACAAAACAATCTGGGATTTCTTATTTACTAGATTACACAGGCACATCCTTTTAAGCTCAAATTAAATCCAGAAAAAATAAAGGAAAAGCCATGCCTAAGAACATCTGATTGAGTTCTATAGTCTCTCTCTTTCGGATTGTTACTTCCTCATCACAGGAAACTACTGCTGCTGTTGAACCACAGTAGAGGTTACCTTCTGCTAATCACATTCAGGATGTGTGCAACTAATTATATTGCTAACATTCTTGCTGTGGAGAGAAGGGAGGCTGGGCTTGAGGGAATAGTCAAAGACAAGAAGCTGGCATCAGAAATCATTTGGAGACAATGTGAGGCCATCACATTTTCTGTCTGTCCATCTTTAGTCTAAACGTACAGAGGAAAATTGTCTTCTCCACTGCACACTTGTTACACCAACCTAATAAGCTGCTTCTGCTGTTGTTGTAGGTGTCCTTTCAATGGCCAATGCAGGACCCAATACAAATGGATCTCAGTTCTTCATTTGCACTGCAAAAACTGACTGGTAGGTTCTCAGCCCTGCATACTAACCTGACGAATTGATGCCTGGATCCGGAGGGTTCGGGGTTTTCTTAGGGATTTTTTGTTTGTTTGTGTGTTGATGGGGTTTTGTTTGGGGGGTTTTGTTTTCCTTTTTAATTTCCAAATTACTTGACTCACAATGGCTAATAAATTGTTTTGTGCTACTTGAGGGAGGACGGGCTGTGAGGGTAACAAGGCCACTATCCCTCATAATGTTTCTAAGGTCCAGAGCTAAAAGCATTTCATGTCACTTGTAGAGCAGTTGTGCCTTTGCCTTACGGTTGATCAGCAGGTGAGAGCTATGAAGATCTGCTAACATCCCTTCACTGAGCTCAGTTTGGTTCAGTCTTTATGTTGTTTTAAGTAAAACTGCCTTTGTTTTACAGGCTAGATGGAAAACATGTTGTTTTTGGGCATGTAAAGGAAGGAATGGATGTCGTGAAAAAAATTGAGAGCTTTGGTTCCAAGAATGGCAAGACCTCCAAAAAGATTGTCATTACTGACTGTGGCCAGCTGTCCTAGCCTTCAGGACCTTCCTACCATTCAGGACAACTTCAATGCTGTGAAAAAAAAATCCTAAAAAAACCCCAAACATTTCTGATCCCATGAGTAGCACCTATGGAACCATATTTTCTATTTAACTTGGTCCAACTTTTATATTTATATTGAATAATATTGATTAAAAGCATAAAACAAGAACTGAAACATGTTTTAACTGAGCTACCTTGATAGTCACACTGTCACACTCATTTGGTAGAGTCCCACTGCGTTTTTAAAGAAGTAGTACGGTCACCCAGAGCATAGCTGACTGCAGTGTTGATACTATTCTTAGTATTTGGATGATTCAGGTGTTAGAATTGATGGTGGAGTTGACAACTAAGTGTTCTGTAGTTGGGGGTTAGATATAAATTGAGAAATACCATTTTTCCTTTGGTGCTAATAAATGCCTATTCTGTTGTTTGTCTCATCGTTTTGAAAAAATACTAACTAGTGCTCTCAAGGCCGTCTGCACCACGACTGTCAGACATTTTCTTTCTGTGTCTCAATGTAAGTCTATCCAATACAATTAATGTGTGGTTGGGGGGGGGGGGGGGGGCTGGTTTAATTATTTTTTTTTTGGTAGTCTCAGACCAGTGTTTAAAACTGAACTCTACCTTGCTTCAGTGGAGTGATTTGACTTTTGGGTTAGGTAAATTGCTTTAAGTTGAGTTAGCCTACTACTGGAGCTCTACCTGGGCAATAAGACGACAAATTAGCCAAAAGATCATGGGACTTTTTTATTATGCAACTGTGAACTTACTTGAAGTGCAGTTCTGCTCTGAGATTTGGTTCTGTGAGTAATACAGCACAGTTCTCAATAGATAGCCTATTTTTGCACTTTGAGAATATAATCAGAGTATAGCAATGTTGCTTGAGTGAGAAATAGGTTTTATTGCTTTTTTTTGTCCTGTTGGTCCTGCAAAGACAGCCCACCCTGGGTATTAGTTGGATTATGATTTCTTCTCATGCATCATCATCATCAGTCAAAATTGGTCACCACGAAATCACAAGGCCTAAGTGGTGCTTGTTGGGGTTGATGCACAGAAAGGAAAGAATTCAGCTGATCAGATAAATGCATTTTGTTTGTATAAACCAGTATGATTTATGTGGAGTGGTTGAGCAGTAACAAATGCTGGAACCTCACATCGCTTTTAGAATCACTAAAGCTGTAAAGTAATGCTTGTGGAGAAAAAGTACTTGACTGTTTTTGTGCAATAATCTTGTTACTGAAAAGAAAAATGAAATGTGATGGCTCTCTTCAAATGTGAATTTACTTCCATTGCATTCTAATCACGTGGGTTTTAAGCTATTTTGCACTGGGTATTTTTTCCACTGAGGGCTGCATTCTTGTGTGTACGAGGTAGTATTCGGAGTGTAATTTTGCAGAAAATTGAATTGAAAATCTTTTTATTCTCTCCACTGTATCTGTTTCATCTTTATTTGTAGTATTTTTGAAATATTAATTTGTGCTGGTTTGGCTTATTTCAGTTTGATAGAATAATGATTTTTTTTGTGTGTGTTCTCTTAATTTGTATATGAAAAATAATTAAATACAGTTCTACCACAAAAAAAAGTGTTCCTTTCTTAAATATGACTTTGCACACTTACTTGAAAGCAGGAGTGTGAGGAGCTGAAACCTGTTGTGTTTACTTGTGCTGTTCTCTGCCATCCACTTTGTGGTGGGTCTGATCTAGCGGTATTCATACGCTGTGCTGTTGTTCAGAGACACAGCCAGCAAGAGGTGGGGTGGTGGTGCCATGCTTTGCTGCTCACTAGTGAATCTAAAATGTCTGGTATATGGATAGCGGCTCAGGTTTTGAGACTTCTCTTGTCTGATTTATTCCATCGACTTGCAGAGATAATGGGGAAAGTGTAAATTTAGTGGACAGTTTTAAATTTCTGAATTCCTTTTTGAAAAGTTGGTAGTTCCAGCTTTTTGCTGGACAACTGAGGAAAAGCTCCTTCCTTGCTGTGTGATCAGAGATGGCCTTAAGAATTTAGCATCTTCCTGTGTACCAGCGGGATTTTAGACAGGAAAGCCCAGTGGAAGATGCTTTGCCACAAGCCAGTCCATTTTCTCTTTACTGTGTTAAGCCTTAAATAAGTAATAGCATTATGCGTGTTATAATGATTTGTTACATATGGCTGTGGCTTTTACAGACACATTTATGCCCTAACTTCTGAAATGTAAAAGCCAGAATTTTCTGTCAAGGCTCGCAGTCTTGACTAGAAGATAAATATTAAGACCTGCAGAATCACTGTGTCTAGTAACACTGGTTGCAGTGTCTCGATAGGGCTGGCTTTGGTTTCCAGGTACCGGTCCTCTGTGTGCTTTTCTCTGCCAGAGGAAAGTCTTTGCTGCCTGAGTGCTTAGAGCAGTGTAACGTGAGTTTTAATGTTTTGACAAACTAAACGGGTCAATCTCTTAAAGTTATCTTCTATAAAGTATCTTCCTCAAAATGGATTCTTCTGGAGTTCTGTTCTTCCTGGGTTTTCCTTCTTTTTTCCTTCCCTCCTTCACTTTATTTAAAAAGAACAGGCACAGAGCTCTATTTCAGTGTAAGTCTTGCACTCTGCAGCATTGCAAGAGCGTCCCTATACTAAGAATACACAACTACAGCTTGTACTACGTACACCTGAGCTAATTTTGAGAGGTGGTTGTGGCACCGCAGGACACCGCAGCACAGGCTGCAGGACCTCGGCACGCTGGATGGCTGTCAGTCAGTCTTGGGTAGCTTGTCCACTTCTGTAACACAGCCCAAAGTCAGGACTGCAGTTCGTGGGTAAGTACACAGTAATCACCCTTTGCTAGTAATTCTCTGCTGGGATCTAATTTTTTACAGGATCCTAAGTGCCCGTCTCTCTCCTGTGAGCCCTCATGCATCGCAAACAGCTACTAGGAGAAGAGGGTTCTCCTTTTGCAGCCTTGCTTGATGGTTTGATCAGCTTCAAAATCATGGGCTAGAACAGGAAGAGTTAGGCAGTGCCGCCACTTGTTTGTGACTTCCTTACTCCAGGATTTTGTACCCCTTCATAGCAAAATTATATATGTTACAACAATAAACTCTGCCTCACAGCTCTGTCGCATAGAGAAAAGGCCTTTGACTTCTAAAGTTAATCCACTAACTGTGAGATAGGAAACTGCCCAAAACTATTTTTTTAAACCCATTTAGTTGTTAAATGGATATGCTTTCCTTGTCTTCTGCTGGTAAAAAGCATTGATCTTAAAGCAATTCAGAACATGGTTCATTTTAAAGCAGCTGAGTGATCCCAGGGTAACTAATGTTATTCCTGTATATATTAAAAATGTGAAAAATTGCTGCCATACAAGTTGAAGTACAGTGTGGTTTTTCCATCCCCTGCCGGTGATTTGTTACTTCAGAGCTGCTTCTGGCACAGCAGCTCTGGGGCAGAGCCGCAAAGCTGGCGCTTGGCTGAGGCGGCCCGAAGTGCTGGCCAGTCCCTGCTTTCGGTGTAGCAGAGGATTAGGTCAAATCTTGGCTTTTCTGTTGTAAGAAGTGTATCTTCCCCACCAAATGATCACTGTGGAGATTATTTTCCCCACCAGTGTATTAATCATAGAATGCTTTGGAAGGGACCTTTAGAGGTCATCCAGCCCAACCCCCCTGCAGTGAGCAGGGACAGCTTTAACCAGATCAGGGTGCTCAACCTGACCTTGAATGTTGCCAGGGATGGGGCCTTCACTGCCTCTCTGGGCAACCTGTGCCAGTGCTTCACCACCCTCATTGTAAAAAATTTCCTCCTTCTATCCAGTCTAAATCTATCCTCCTTTAGTTTAAAACCATTACTCCTTGTCCTGTCACAACAGGCCTTGCTAAACGGTTTGTCCCCATCCTTCCTGTAGGCCCCCTTTAAGTACTGAAAGGCCGCAATAAGGTCTCCCCGCAGCCTTCTCTTCTCCAGGCTGAACAACCCCAACTCCCTCAGCCTGGCCTTGTAGGAGAGGTGCTCCAGCCCTTGGATCATTTTGGTGGCCCTCCTCTGGACCTGCTCCAGCAGGTCCATGTCCTTGTGCTGAGGGCCCCAG